CGCAACAAATTTGTGTATAAATTTGCTGGTTCCATCTGTAATTCCAAGATCACTCTGGTTCCCCGAATACGAGATAAAATGACCGTAATCATGCCCTGACACCCCAAATTTCCTTGTGGAGGATGGGTTGAAGGGACTGCACTGCACGGTTCTACCGGAGGGTTCGACTCTTGAGGGTGTTGCACACTGCTTTTCAAAACAGGTGTTCAAATTTCCGACTCGCAACGCGCAATGTTTCTCGATTCCGGCACGGCCGCTCGCGAAGAATAATATTAATATTAATAATAATAGAGCTCAGAATAACCAGGACTTGGTTGATGACAGCATAATTCGTCTATTGCGCCATGATGAACACTACAAATATCTTTGTATTGAACAACGTCATCTACAGGCAGCCACAAGCGTAAAGAGCGCACTTATCTCTCGCTACAGATCCAAACTTAAACAAATTTGGAGCTCCCAATTAACATCCCGCAATAAAATTCTTGCAACCAATATGGTGGCAGTCCCAACCGTAGCATATACATTTGCAGCCGTCAAGTGGACGCAAATAGAACTTCAACAACTGAACCGAATAACGAGAAAAATAATGACCATGAATCGTAGCTTGCATCCCCGCTCCTCAGTACCAAGGCTCTATCTTTCCCGCCTGTCCGGGTGCCGGGGTCTGATTGGACTAGAAAACTTCCACAACAGAATGGTTCCTTAGTATAGCCTGCAGGATAGTGTGCCCTGATGACCCTTTACTTCGAATGGTTTACGGCCACGAAAAGTCTGTTTTTGAATGCTGAGAAAGCGGTGGAACAAATTAACCTTACCTTCGACTCACTTAATACGAAGCCAAAATCGTTGGCAAAGTTAGAGTCAGAACGCATTAAAGCAGTAATAAAGCAATCTGAGCAAACACTCTTCTTAAACACCCACAAGTCTAAGTCGCTACGTGGTCAGTACTAGCAGTGAATTGACACTGGTTCACTAAGCACAGGATTAACATTTTCATTTCTTAAATCGGCCGGGCTAAGATTTGAAACGGAAGACGCTTTATTTGCGGTACAAGTAGGTGCAATAAACACCCTTGCTAACAGGAAAAATGTTTTAAGGCTTAACGTGGAGGACGATAATTGCAGAGCATGCAAACAACGACCCGAGACGATAATGCATATACTATCGGCGTGTTCTCGGTATGCCCGAACGAAATACATAACCCGTTATAATGCAGTCCTTCGGGAGCTACACTTTTATTGCAGACATTACTACGATATCGATCGGGCCCAGGTCCTGTCTTATGCAGGACATCGAGGCAGTTATTGATAATGAATCATGTCGAATCTACTGGTATTACATTGCATAAAATAAACCCGATTTAGTTTTGTTGGATCATGGAGCGGAGCAATTATTCGTTATTGGTGATCAAATCATAACCAACAAGAAGCAGCAAATGAGACAAAAATATCGAAAGCTACTAGATGACTATAGACAAATTTATGCTGGGCACACAGTAGAACTTGTGATTTTGACCATTGGATGCATGGGCGGAATACATGCTAGCGCTGCACGAGAACTACACCAAATACCGGCGTGCGGTCCGATTACGAAAGTGTTATTGGGCAAAATGCAGAAGGCGGTATTGCTGAGATCTTTTCGTCTACTTCGGAAACACAGCTGTACCGACCAGTGACTCACTTCGTGGCTCAAAGAGCCTCTGGTCGTATTTAAAACAGAACGTCGTTTTGTGAAGTCGGAGTCACAGAGCGGCATTTCTGGAATATCTCAATCAATAATAATAATAATAAATAGTACTTTTAAATCAGTAATAGATTACATCATAGTTAAACAGGCAAAGAAACTACAGATCAACGACGTGAGTTATGCTTGTGGATCTGACCATCATCTCTTAAGAACAAAAATCCGGATGCCGTTCAAGTATGACAAAAACAAAACTGATAATGGAACATAGACGAGCTCGAAGAAATAAACTATTCAACATACAATTTGGGAAGCTTGCTACACGACATTGTTAGAGAGCTATACAAATGAAGACTCGAGCAGAAACTTGACGAATTTCTTACGACCGTTCTAGAGATATACACAAACATAATAACTTGCTTGCGTAATACATCTAAAGAAGTGCTAAGAATAAGATGAAAATAATAATATATAATCCAGCCTGCAGCACCTTTATGCACTTGCTTGCAGTACGGCCGATTTTCAGGAGACCGCTTTCGACAGCTGATAAAAAAGGTACGGCTTGTGGTACCGATATGACCACGGGAAAAATAATTAGATCCAGCCTGGTACGGCACATTTCTATTTTATTTTATATTACAAAGTTACCAGCGATGTTACTATCAACAACATCAACATCATACGGGTAAGCTCTTGTACGTATTGGTCCATATAGAAAATAGAAAACACTGAAGTTAATCTAGATCCAAGCCTCGGACAGCCTTTAGTCTAGTATCTACTGTGATTCGTATGCTAGGATCAGATTCCACAAAAACAGGGACAAATTTCCCATCAAAAGGAAGGTACAACATCCCGAAAGCTATTCACCCGCAACTTAGAATTAGAAAATGATTAAAAAAGAAATAAGAATTAGTAGAGACAACCAGACGCAGCAAATTGCTAGGATGGGTAGCAAATAGGGGGTTGAAGGATGTTTTTAATAACGGCCTACCAAGAAGCCTAAAAAGTAAGGTCTACAATCAACGCGTTTAAGAGATGACATTAAAGGGATAGTGGGACACTGGACCCAAGCTGTACAATACCGAGCAAAATGGAAACGTTTGGGGAAGGCCTACGTTCAGCAGTGGACTCTAGAGGATAGATAATGATAAATATAAATTTATGATCCTGCTTGTGTCATTGTTGGAAAATCAAATAATTAAAATTTATTTTTCGATTTTTAACGACGTCAATTTTTGTCTTGATAAAGTAACCTAAGAAATATTTCTGCTGCTGCTGCTGCTGTCACGTCAACAAAATATCCAATATAATTTGCTCACGAAGTAAAAAGTTTCTATAAAATCCATCCCTTGCCTGGTTAACTGTCAAAAAAAAACACTTGTTACTGGTTAAAAATGACAGGTGTGGAACTTTCTCTGATATTAAATATTTCTTTTTCTTTTAATGGAAAAAACTGAATTGACATGTATTTGGGAAAACACATTTTCCACAAATTTCCGAAACAGAATACCAGCATAATTTTTTATTCTAGAAACAATTACTTTTTACATTTTAAATAATATAATATATACGAGGTTAGCGCCAAAATTTCCCATCACATAGATGCACCTCCAGTATCACGAAAAAACTTTGTCTTCTTTTAAATATATATCTTAGTAGCCTGCGAAAAAAAAAACTGAAGTCTTGCGTCAAACAGTTTTTTATTGACAGCATTTTAAACAAGACGTGTACGAAAAAATGTCGCAAATAACGCAAGTTGAGGATAGAGCAGTCATAAAGTTTTTGACAAAAGAAGGGTTAGCACCTAAAATTATTAAAGAAAGGCTGGATGGTGTGTACGGCCAAAGTTCTTCTTCGTATTCTGTAGTGAAAGAATGGCCAAAACGTTTTCGAATGAGTCCCTTGAAGATGAGTCAAGAACTGGTCGATCAGTGGAGATCATAACGGAAGATATTGTTGCGATTTCGGAAGAGGTGGTATTGAGTGATCGACGTTTAAAAGTCAAGGAAATCTCAGAAGTTACTAAGCTTTCTGATACAAGTGTTCGTCGAATCCTGCATGATCATTTAGGTATGCATAAGGTTAGTGCAAGATGGGTTCCTATTCAAAAACAACGCCGTGTCGAGTGTCCGCGGTCTTTTTTGGAACTCTGTGGGTCGGAACGGAAGCCTGTGATAGAAAGTATTGTGACGGGAAATGAAACTATGGTTCTCTATTATGACCTTATATCGAAAAAAGAATCAATGGAGTGGCGTCGTAAGGGTGAAGTACCTCCAAGAAAATTCAGAGTCTGCCAATCAACAAAAAAGGTGATAGCCACGATCTTTTGGGATTGTGAAGGAATTCTTTTAAAGAAACTAATACCACTGTCAATGGTAAATATTACGCATACGTGTAAAACGTCGAGGAAAACAGACCAGAGGCGTGCGTCTTTTGCACGATAATGCACCTGTCCATACTGCTGGTGTTGCACAAGCTGCCATTTTAGAGTGTGGGGTCCAACAGATAGTCCAGATGTGGCCCCCAGCGACTATTATTTGTTTGGATATTTGAAAAAGGACTTACGTGGACGGCGGTTTAACGACGAAGTTATTTTCTTAAAGGCATTGAGTTGTTAATAAAGAGATGTAATAAGTGTATTGAAGTTAAGTTGTTCCTTTCATATTCGGGCCGGGAAATTTTGGCGCTGCCCTCGTATACTTCCTTTTTACCCACTACGTCGTAATTTACATCCAAAATATGCACTCAATAGTCCCCATTTCATAAGGAATCCATCCAAAATTAGGTAATTATAGGAAAAATTTTTGACATGAAATTCAAAATTTGCCGAAAAGTGTTAGATTTAGGTATAGGGTATTTTTCAAAGAAACTTCCAGAGGCTACTGTAATAAAAATCTTCTGGATTCCTCCTGCGTTGGTTGTTGATGAATCTAGCTTGCTGACGTTTCACCAATCATTATGTTGGCTTCTTGAGAACTTAACTGAAACGGTTACCATTCTACTCTGCACCTGCTTATATATTTTTTGAGGGGGAGCAGCTAAAGGAAGAACATAAACATTGTCTCGGTGAATCGAAAACTAATATAATATACAGGGTCTTGTATTTGAAATAAGAAAGCCGACATTTGAACACCCTTTATGACAAATTAAAAAATCTACAAGAAAGTATACAACTTTTCTATTTTGTACAATTTCTGAAATAGGCAAACAGCGACGTTGGCCCAACTTGACGATCCTCGTATCTCCTATAGTTTCCTAGATCATACCGGTAGGAGTCGTATAAGAATGTCTATATCTATGTCTATTTTTTCTAGTACAACTGGGACGGAAGAAGTATGTATCACATAACGTGCGTAAGGGTGCACAATCGTATGCCCCACGATACGCGCGCTGCGGAAGCCAGAGTTACGAAAGGCGGAGTGGGACAGAGCGAAGTCAAAATAGAAATGATATCCAAAAATTCGGAAGGGCTGCACTTCATCGTCGAAATATGGGGCGAAGAAAAATACGGTTCCTCGCAGAACATCGGCCTTCTGATGGGTTCTCCTGATCAGAACGATCGGGTGTTGTACGTGGGAAAACAAAAATATTGTATGTGCAATTAGAACCGTAATACATTTATTTTATTAATTATTAAACCTTTTGGGCGCATCAGCAGCGCCTAGCAGTAATTTCGGTAATTGTGATCGTATACAGTGTATCGTACTTAAGAAATGTACAACCATAAATGCATTATAAAACAAACGTTGCTTTGCTTATTGGTTCAACCTAAAATCATCGCCAACTGCGACAAAACACAAAAAACAGAGAAGCGAGAAGTACTACACAATTTTTTAAGAATTTAAAATTAAGAAATACTTAAAACCCAACTATACGGATTAAGCTGTACAAGGTGGTCATAAATGGAGTGTTTTAATAGGAAAACCCTGAACTAGATAGAGCAAAATAGACTTAAAATTTTAATATTTTGACTTCTAATATTTATTGCGTTTTGTTAATTAGGTTAAAATAACTATAATTTTGTTTTCTAAATAATCAAAAATATTGAAATTAATGAAAAAAGTACATGGTTTTTACGTTCGTGCTATTTTAAATTGGTCCTATCTTTTTTCAAGTTCCAGTGTTTATTAAATTATTTTAAAGGTTTTTATGTGATGTCTTTTTGAAAATATTATACATATATATTATATTTCCGTCCTTTTTTATCACAGATAGCAACACGTGGCTGAAAATAGCTCGATAGATTATAGCCAACTATGATTGCCATAAAAAATAAAAAAGTGGTATTCATTTATGAGAAAACTGAGAACTGTATGAAAAATCTGAGTACGCCACTGTATTTGCCTTAAAAAATTCTCTAAAAATGTTTTTATCCGAATCCAAAATTTTCATAAATAAAAAAGTTATGATCAATTTTTAAAAGGGACGACAAACAAAACAAAAGAAATACAGAGAGGATCATTTTTTACTATGGAATGATGATGAATTTATTCAAAGATTTCGATCTTCTGAACATGGTGAGTATTATTTCTTATTATATGATGAATTAAATTATTTTAACCTTCCTACCTAGTTTGCAGCCTAGTTCTTGTCACATTCAGATATTATCCAACTGAAAACTTTCTTCAGGATGTTGGAGACTTTGTTGGGATTGAAAAAGGAACAGCAAGTCGAATTGTATGCAACGTGTTCAGAGCTATTGCAGGACTTTATCCTCAATTGATTAAAATGCCTGAAATACAAGCTGAATTAAAACGCCCTTCCCAAAAATTTTATTTTTTCTTTAAAACTGCTTGTTTCAGGATGGAGTATGCCGTTGGGCAATCTCCATTCTTGATTCTGATTGCTACAGCTGCTGATTTTTAAAAATACACAGCAACTACGCATGCGCAAACGTCACCGACATTTTTTTTCTTAAACTCGGTGTTGTAGAGCTGGGCTTATATATAAACGGCTTGTACAACGAAAATGTATTTTCGAATCCATTTCATCACTGAGCGTAGTTTAGAAAAACTATAGCTTGAACCGAGACTGTACAACCGGGCCTAAGTCAAATAATCCTTGTTTATTTTAATGAATATTCCTGATCCGATTGGTCAATAGGTCTTACTAAAGGACACTGAAAAGGTTTTTTTCGTGTGGACAAAAGTCACTGCCAAATGACACGAGTTTTTGAAGCGGAAACTCGAGATGTACTTTTAGGGATTATTAAAAATAACTAGACTAATGAACAAAGTTTTTAATATTTTCAAAAATTAAATGTCTACCTTGTAAATAAAGATTATTTTGTGTGTGATTTTAAGATCTTACACACAAATATTTTTTAAGGCACACATATAGTATACATGTATTGAAACATGATAGAAATAGTTGGGTTCTAATAGCACTCCTCCCTTCTCCTTCTTTTGTTAAATGTTATTGACCATGACCTTGGTTGAAGCAATACGCAAAACAAGAGTTTAGCGCACTTCCAGAAACAACGATTTTATAATGGTGTACTGTTCTAAAGTGAGACACACTGCACGTGCGGGAATCATTGAAATAAATAAATGCATATTGTTTAAATGTTTCTTCTTCTCCTTAACTGTGAAATGCTCAATTATGCACTGATTGATAAGACTAGCCCAAAGTGTCACAATAAAGTGACATGGAGCTTTTGAAAAACTGCCCACCGATAGTTACAAACAGTCCAATTGCACAAGTTATAGATAAAGCCATATAGCTGTTAGATAATATAGTGGTGAAACTACGGTGGCAATTGATGCGCCACAGGTGATTATTAAATTTTCGTAGAGATAAGAACGACCTTTCGCACATGTCTTTAAATTTCACGAACTAAACAGCACATTGGTCAATTTTTTTCGTTCTAAAGTGAGATATCTCCACACTTGACTGTTTTTCTATTACGAATCTATTTGACACCCAGTTTTTTTTTTAATTCTACTTTAGAAAATTGATAATAGAATTTTCTTCACTTTCCTTAAAATACAAAATTGCAGAGTTCTGCCACAAAAATATAATTTCTTCTCATATCAATAAGGTGAAGACCTGAAATTAGTGTAAAGTTTACCTTTGTCTGCAAAATCAAAAATTATTTAAATCCTATGTGAAAAATAGAAAAAATCAAACAGTTGTAGAATTTTTGGATGCCTAAAGATGTTTACTTTAGTAAATCAACGTTGTTCAAATCGTTTCGGAACTTTTAACTTGTGTAAATGTTTGCCAACGAATTCGTCAAGTGGAATTAAAAAACATTAATTTAGTTTTAAAAAAATTAAATCAATTCTAATTGCGCGATGGTGCCAGTAGCTTTTAAACTTTTAATTCTAATTTAATTCGCTAGTTTTTTCAAATTCATTTTAATTATAATACTTTCCAATAATCAAAATTACTTACTAAATTTGTTCAAGGAGCGATTTTCCACAGGGTAATTCAACAGAGTAAAATTTAAAAGGATTTTCCGTTTGTTCAGTCTGCAAACGTCCTTTTTGACGTAAAATGTTATAATATCTCTAAAACGGTGCAATTTACGGATAGGATGTATATGAAATATATCTAAAATTTTCTGAAAAATCAATAAAAATATAGACCATGGAGGAACTATACTTGATATTACCATTAAAAGAGACTCATACAAGAACATCAGGTATCTGAACATGGAAATAAATTATGTGGGCAAAATAAATAAATAACGATTTGAACGTTTTGGAGAAATTGGATTTTCTAAAATTACGTCCCAGTTTACATAATTCCAAACGCGAGATGAACCACCATCCACGACAACAGGTAATTCACAGAAAACATTGACATTCCCGTAATTCCTACTAGTACCCTATAGCGGCGTCAACCTAAACATGATAAGAGTACGAGAAAATGAATAATTGGTTTCTACAGCATACTTCGATGGCGCCACAAATCTCGATTTCGAATAGAAAGTAATCTGATATCTTTTACACGAATCCCTATAGATACTTGAAATATAGCATATCCCTATGCTGCTTATGATGAAACTATGAAAAACAAAATTAAGTAACTAACATGGCCGCTGACAGATCATCAAAAAGTTTGCATGCAGTATTTTCTAAAAATATGTTCAGATCCTATTAAATCTTCAGGAAAAAGGAGTTCGTAGGTGAAATGTGGCATGCGGGAGGATTATTCCCATCTCTACGAAAATATCATAGCCACCTCAATTTTTACCGTAGTAGGGTCACTATATTGACTAATAGCTTGAATAGAGTGAATGTCTCTCTTCAAAATTTCGTTGGTTTTAAAAGTGCCTGCCCTATCAAGAGAAAGATGATAAATAAAATTAAAATAAAATTCTGCAGAAACGAGCAAATACAAATCAAAAACTATCCTTTCCTGGAGTTTCCACCATTTCAACAAATCATAGTAGCAGTCGTCTTGCAACTTTGATTATTAACTGACCAAAGTCACACTCATATATCTATGGCTACCGCTGGTATCAGGTCTTCAATTTTCCGTCGCGTGGCCTTAATTGAATTGGCCAATGTGGTAAAGTCATTATACCGTCGAATTATATTATGCAAAGGTATGTTTGCAGTAAAACTGTAGCTCTGGTCTATGATCAATTTAAAACATAAAAGTTTGACACATGGCATGTACATGACGATTTGAGAATTTGTTTTTATTGCCCGTTACGAAAACAAACATGGAAGCTTGTTTGGCTGTTGAGAAAGATGTCGACAAAGTTTTATCCAAATTCGGTGCCATCAACGAACATTCCAAGCGCGTTCTTTCTGATATCATTAACCATATTGAGAATTTGAAGCAAGAATATCACAACGGTAAGAGATTGAAATACAAATATCACGCTATTGTCTCTTTGTCTTTATTTTTAGCACCAGAAAATCATGTCTTAACAAATGTTCAAATCAGTTTGCTTCAACAAGAAATGGCGAAAGTAAAGGAAACTATTTCACGTTTGGCAACTGAACATAGAGATTTGCATAGTACAGTGTCCAAAGTGGGCAAATCAATTGACAGGAATTTCACTGCTGATTTTGCCGCATGTAGTCGGGACGACGTATTCAATCACCCTGAAAAAATACAGATCATCAATAAAATAATATGTCAACATTACTATAGGTAAATATAATTTTAAATCAATTTTTGTTTTTTTAGTGGAAAATTTTTAGGCAAGGAATGCACGATGTTGCAGATGTGTTAGCGATGGAAGGCGAAATACTGATTGAGCCTCATGAAAAAGAGCCATTCACTGAAGTACACCACATTTCTGATAGTTTGAAAAACAAAGATTTAGAACCACTGTTAGCTTGGGCCACTGTTCATCATGAAGCTTTAGACGCACAAAACTCCTCATTGGAGTTCATGATCCATCGTCTAAAATACATTGAGTTACTTAAAAAGGGACCAAATTTTCAAAATGAAGCAATTGCTTATGCACGAACTCATTTTAGAAAATTTGTTCATAAACATGAAAAAGGTAAAGTTAAAAACGGTTTTTATTTCAGAATTAACCATTTTTCCTCTACAGAAATGTTTATACTCATATAAAGAATAAGTAGAAAATATTGAGGTAGGTAGGGGATACTTCTTGACACATCTGGTTTTTTCAGATATACAAACATTAATGGGAATGTTATTGTATGTTCCCAATGGTATCACAACGTCGCCATACAGTACCTATTTGTATTCTGAAATGTGGGGTGAGATCTATGAAATGTTCATAAGAGATGCATGTCAACTACTAGGAGTATGTGTAAACAGCCCATTAATAACCTGTATTAACTCTGGTTGCATGGCAATACCAGCTCTCCTTAATATCAAACAAGTAATGATGCAGAGGCAGGTGACCAGTGTGTGGAATGTCAAAGATGAGTTGCCTGTAAGTTTTTAAACAAATTTGAGAGGTCCACTTGTAATTAACTCTGATAGAGAGCTGTTTTCAAGTCTCTGCTATCCCCACTCTTGAATTAGTTGCATTAGTTGTACCAGTAACAGTGTAGATATAACAAAGACAATGCAATTCACAGTAAATTACATAATTTCCAAAAGTATTTCTCTAAATTATCCTGTCTAGTCAACTTTATTACAAGTTTGTACCTACTGTGTGTAGGAGTTCAATGTTTGACCATAATCCAAAGTTGCTGGCTCTATTTACTCTATCTGCCAGCAAGTATTTGGATAGTTTCTGTTATGCTTATGCAACAATAGAATAACAGAAACTATCCAAATTAAGCCGGCAACATTGGATTACTATAAAACCCTTTTCCTGTGTGCACTTTTTTTCCCGATTAGTTTTACCTTTAAGCCAGGTCTGACAGATGACTAGCAACAATACAAAAACAATTTTAAAAAATACACATATACATATACCCAATGTCAGTGAAGAAATAATTGTAAAAAAATGAATAAATTTGAACTTTAGAGATGTTATATAAAGAAAGTATTATAATAATAATAAAGTATATCAAATAACTAATTTAATAACACTCCGGTTTTACTTGAAGTGAAATTAACTCGCTTATTTTAAATGAAACACTCTGTATATTTTGAACACTAATATGACAGATATTTATAGAAAAACATTTTATAAAAGTTTATTATTGTTACTGGCGACGTTTGTTTGATTCTGCCAGAGTAATTTTTAGAATTGATTAAATGAGGTGTAAAGTCTTTATCAGTTATTTTGGAACTGACCACCTAGTGTGCTTTAGCTAATGCCTTTTTAAATGGTGGTTACTATTGTTTTCAGCTGAATAGCTCAAAATAACAGCTGTCTTTTTTCTTGGGATTCTATAATTAAAAACCTCCTTTAAAAACTAACTGCAAAAATTAACCTTCTCTATATCCATAAAGCAATATAGAACAGTAACAATACAAACAGTTCAGAATTTCAAGCAAGTATCTGCGTTGCGTTTGCGTTATGACCCCAATTTTACTAGTTGTCCTCTCAAAATTTGTTATTTTATCATTTTTTGTTTTATGCTTAAATTATGTTGTTTCAGATTGAAATTGACCTTGGCAATGAAGCAAGGTATCATTCGATGTTTGCCTGTCCTATTTTAAGGCAACAGTCAACAAAAAATAATCCTCCTATGAAACTGATATGTGGACATGTTATATCCAGAGATGCTCTTAATAAACTTTGCAACGGAAATAAGTATGTGTTTACTTATAAATTATTATAACAGCAAAAACCAAGTCTTTCAAGTATGAGCATATCAAATAATTTATAGTTTGAAATTGCTGTACAGAGTGACAAAGCCTGTTGACTGTATTCTAAAAATTTTCTGACTACAGAACTGAAAAGGGTATTTTAATTTTTTTTTGGAATTTTTGACAATTTTTCTATTACCTAATAAAAAAAGATGCATTATCAAACTTAGATAAACCTAACTCTCCGTATCTGTAAATAAAGTTGTAGGATGTGTTAAAATGTTTCAGTCTTCTATAAGTACATTATAGCAACTTCCTACAAGGCAAAGGAATTTTGTAGAAAATGAATTGAAAAATAATTTCAGATCCTCATTACTTCCGTCACTACTTAAAATTGTTATATTATGCTACGTATGTTATGTTATGTTGGTACCTGGTATTACTTTTTTCACTTTTGTGAAATAAATAGCTGATTGTTAACAAAAATATGAACAATGAACAATAAAAATTTACTAAAAAATGATTTGATAATTTTTTTTAAATAGAATATTTCATTTTATAAAATTTGTGAAATAAAGTTCTTTTAGTTAATTCATGCATTAATATATTCAATTAAAAAAATATAATAACAAAATCATAATACAAAGTAAAAATGTGTATAACCCATGAACATCTATTATTATTTAGCATATTTTTAATGTTTTTTTTTTTAATTTCAGGTTAAAGTGTCCCTATTGTCCAATGGAACAAAACCCTGCAGAAGCAAGGCTAATTTATTTTTAACTTTTTTTTTTCAATTTTAATGGATATATACATATATATTTGTTTTACAGATTTGTTAATTGATTATAGGGTAGTTCAATAATAGACAATTGAATTTTGCGCAAGTTTCAAAACAAAATGGAGATGATTATTATGGTGATTTAAAACTCTTAAAATTTTTGTCCAAAAAATCTACCAAATAGAGCTCAAGTATAAGAATCTTGCCTATCATTAGTTACTTGGATTGATTCTAATATTCTGGTGTGGAACTTAGCTAGCGAGACTAAAATTTGAAATAAATATATGTTTCTGAAATTGTGAAACTTGTGATCCTTCATTGATCTTATTACTGCCGTTTTATATGCTATTAAGCAGTGATTTTTCTATGGTTTGTGTTGTATTTGTGATCTCTTTCTAACTTGTTGAAATTTTTTTCAGAATAAAATATTTATATTAAGCATCCTTATTCATTTTAATCTTTAATTTTTGTCCGCCTCTAAGATTGATATCTTAAATTCTGTTCACTCAAGAAACCAAATTAGAATAGATGATGTAGAAGCTGAAAGCTTTTAATTTTCCTATTCTGCATTTTTAATTTTTAACATAAAGCAATGGTTTTATTTAAAATTTGATACTGCAGGGTTAATCATCTGTACATTATAGCAAGTCAGAGTAATAATATTGTACAATATTAAAAATACAGTTTAAGTATAAAAAGTAAAACAATTAAATATAAACACTACGTTACAATATAAATAACAATACATTTTAAATACAAAAAAAAGACAAAGATAATTAAAAAATAATAAAAAGATAATTCCTTTTTGTCGAAAACAAAAATTGCTATCAAGGTATTCTTGAACGGAATAAAAAGAATGGACAAGCAGGTATTGCTTCATTGTTGTTTTAAATTTTTTGTTGGAGAGCATTTTGATAGATGTAGGCAGTTTATTATACAGAGTGTAATTCAAGGAATTAGAAACAGATTTCGTTAACTTGTGTAGCGGGATAGTGATCAACTCAAATCTTGAATTATAAGAGTGGTTTTTACTGGTGGATGGCAAATTTGACTTTTTATGATGAATTTCTATCACAGTACAATAAATAAACGTGCACGGCAAGGGCATAATTCTGTGTCTCAGAAATACAGTGGGCACGATGATGCAGACCACACATAACCCTAACTGTTCTCTTTTGCAATCTAAAAATGGTCTGTGCTGCCGTACTGTGTCCCCATAAAGGGATTGCATAAGAAATTTTTCAATGAAGGAGTGCAAAATAACAAATTTTACGGGTGTCAAATGACTTACATGATATATATGACGTCAAAGTCAAAGTGCGTTTGAAATAACTCACTCAAATGCGCATTTTAATGATGTCAAATCAGTTAATTTTTAAACAAAAACCTTCAAAAGAAAAACATATCATATACTTACTTACAACCTAACGAAGGCTAAACTAACCAAAACTAATCGAAATTTTTTTTAAGTAAATTTCGGTTAAAAAGACGCAATTTTCAAGGGGTTAATTCTTCAGATCATTTAATGGAAAAAGTTCCTATAAAAGATACAGGTTGATAACGATTTTTTTTTAACTAGTTCAAATATCTTCTCACGGATTTGTTCTAAATTTGACAGCGGTGTTTCCGAGTGTTAAAGTAGCAGTTTTAGTCTCTTTATTTCAGGAAAGTATCGAAATTAAATTAAAGCCAGTGGCGTACATTTTTATCAATAAATTTTATAAAGTTGCCGCCTGTGTATCGCCACTGGACCAAATCTTGGACCTGTATCTTGGAAAATTTTATAAAACGATCTGAGAAATCACCCCCTTATTTATTGGCTCGTATTTTTTAAAACCCTGTATAAAAGTCACACGAACACAGAAGAAACATTCAAAAATTTTTAGGCATCTCGTTACAAAACACCGTCAGTTTTTCTATTTATAAGTGCTTGGCTGTTGATAGTTCTTTCTATTTATAAGTGCCTTGGCAGTTGATAGTTCAAATGGTTGGTGTTGTACGAGTTGTTAGTCACAAATTCTATAACTTTTCCTTCATTTTTATCGAGAAATATCATGACCCTTAATAGAATGTACCAAAAACACCCGGTATCTTTCCCATAGACGCAACTAAATTTTAGTGTTGGTCAAAAATTTTGTTGTGTAAATCCATGACGGCAATTTAAAGTACTTGGGAAACCGGAAATAAGTTTTCCTTAATAAGATAAAAACTTGATGGGAAAGACTATGACCAAATTTATCCGAAGAATGCGAGGTTAATTTTTATAAATCATGTATGAATGAACAAAGGGAAATGCAGATCACTTTACAGGTGTACGTCCTTTAAAGATTAAGTAAGGAAATATTCTGACTATACTCAACGATCACCAAGTACTTCTCGGTAATTTGAAAACTTATAACTTCTGGGCTGGATTCCCCTCAACTTGCCCATAAAGGAACAAATAATACAATTGAAGGAAAAAATAAAAGAGCGAGACCCAGGAAAAGTCGAAATGGGTCAATAAAATAGAAATTTAAGGAAAGAGAACTAGAGAATCTCAGAACGTAGAACGTTCTAAACCAACATGTATATACCGGATGGCGCACAATGGATAGTCTATTAGAAGTATCTGGCGAACGGATCAACGGATTTACTTTAAATTATACACAGCGATGTAAAAGGAAGCAAGCAAACAATGTTGCCGCTTTTATATAAACGTGGCAAGATTTTGCTTAGTTTAAATGGCACCACCTGTATATCATTTCATTTTTAGATTCTACTAGAGAAACAAAGTAAATTTTGTTCAGGTTTACCTTTTACCCATGCGTTACCGTTATCATAAAAAATCATATTAGTTGCGTGCTTTAATTGAACAGAACGCCGAACCCTTGCACAAGCTTAGGCATTTATTCCTGCCATACCATTTTAGATGGAACATAAGATTTTGTACGGCAGTTCCGTGAATTTTCTTAATTTTACGCATTATCAAAATTAAATGAATGAACTTCTTCGAAAGGCAATTTTCAATCAATCAAGACAGAAAATTCTTTCCTGTCAAGTTTCAAATCTCCTTTGTAAACAACGTAAATTTAAATTCGACACTACCAATTCATTGCAACAAAAATGAATAGAGCATTCTATTTAAAATAACAAAATTATGACGTGTATCCTATAAGTGGTAGTTTTTTTTAAATCTGCAGTTTATACAAATCCTTTAAATCAAAGACCAAAAAATTCCCTCAAGTTCAATAGAAAAAAAACCTAGGACTATCGGCTGACCTCTATTTTTCCAGGTCCTAATTAAAGCCAAAAGTATACCCTAAGTAAGGGGCAATCAAACACCTTCAGCTCGTCGACTTGTTTATTAATGTTTAAAAAAAAATCGTTGCGATTTAAACTTGAACAAAAAAAATCTTTGGTGGCCGAAATTTTTAAAGTTGACAAGGAGTACAGTAACCGAAAATAAAATATCAAAGCATTGTCCGCAAAGAAAAATTATAATACTGAGTCAAACGACGGATGATCGAAGACTTGTTCGATTTAATCGACTTCTTCGATTGTTGGTCCGGCGCCTCCGGCTCCCGCTCCCGCTCCGGGGGCGGCACCGCCAGCTCCAGGAAAACCTCCCGGCATACCGCCGCCCGGCGCACCTCCTGCACCCTGATAAAGCTTGGTGATGATGGGATTGCAGATATTTTCCAGTTCCTTCTGTTTGTGCTCGTATTCTTCTTTTTCGGCCAACTGGTTCGCGTCCAACCAAGCGATGACCTCGTTGCACTTCTCCAAGACGGTCTGCTTGTCGCTCTCGCTAATCTTGTCCTTGATCTTGTCGTCTTCGGCGGTACTCTTGACGTTGAAACAATACGATTCGAGAGCGTTTTTGGCCGAGATCGTGTTCCTCTGTTTCTCGTCCTCATTACGGTATTTCTCAGCTTCATTAACCATGCGTTCGATATCCTCTTTGCTGAGACGCCCCTTATCGTTGGTGATGGTGATCTTGTTCTCCTTGTTGGTGGACTTTTCGATGGCGGTGACGTTCAAAATACCGTTGGCGTCGATATCGAAGGTTACCTCGATTTGAGGAACACCTCTAGGCGCGGGTGGGATGCCGGTCAATTCGAATTTACCAAGGAGATTGTTATCCTTTGTCATGGCACGTTCACCTTCATATACCTGCAAACGCAGAATTCTGATGAGCGAATGTTTAAAAAACAAAACTTTAAATTTCAACTGCATTTACGAATCTTCAGATTTTAAACTAATCACAAGAGTAGCTCATAAACTCCAGTCTGGCATGACATTTAAATATCATCATCTAAATTTTTTGGACCCGATATTTCGAATCTACACTTCAAACGACACAACAGAAACTTATTATTATTAAAATTAAAATCACTTTAAAATGCCTTATTGGAAAATTTCAACAGAATCACGCTAGCAGATGAAAAAACAAATAAATTCAAACATTTTTTTTTCGAGAATCAACATCTTTAAATGTTTCTTGTGATGACACCACTGGTATTCTGGAAAAAAATTAGTTGATGTGCGAAAACCAACGATCGGACAATTCGTAATCATTATTATGTCTTCTTAACATTTTTGAAGATTGATAAAGATGATAAAAAAAAATATTTCCGCTTTAAATTGTTTACAAAAAAGCACTTGATGGTTGAATTTATAAAAAAAATAAGATTTAGTCAACGTTTCGGCAAATCGTGGACCATGTCACACGTTACACAAGAGACTATTATTAGTACTGAAGGAGGCAAAAACTCAAAAACGTAGACTATACAAAAAAAATATTTTTTATAAATCCAGCCCAAAAGCCATCAAAATTCGTGGATATCGACATAGAAGCTGTTGAATTTTTGCTTATAACTAAATTCCTTGTTTTATGATGATATATATAACTTCTTCCCTATTTACCTCTGGTCCCTTGGAAAAAGAGTCAAACAAAACATTGATGGTAGTGTTTTAAATTGTGGCGCTTTAAATTAGAATTTTTTAGGTCATAAATTTCCCGGCTAGATAATGACTACATTTTGCCAAAAGTAGTGAGAAAAAATATAAATTAATTCCCTGAGAACATGAGTTTATATACCAGTGACATGAGCATTGAGCATTTCCAAGCATAATTCTACTTTATACTCTCTTTGAACAATGAATATTTATGGCAATTAAGGCATATAGAATATTGCACATTCGAGCACTGAGCACTTTCGTTTCTATAATTTTAAGTTTGATCAGGCTATTTTAAATTTTGTTTTTAATATGTGGCGTTGCATTTTTGTAATGATTATTAGTTCAATGCATTTTCATTATACAGGGTGGTCCAAATTATAATGGGGAAACTTTTAACAAACAAAAAAATAGTTTTTCAGTATTTTTTAAAAATCTCTTTGCCTTTACTTTGTTAATAAAATTAGTTATTAAATTATCAGTATAATTTCTATGATTGTTATGTAAATAACACGTTTCATTTTCGTTTTGTATTGATCAGGGCATTTAAATTTATTAACAAAATTGCGATAAGCCATTGGCATATTTTTTTTATTACTTAAATTGTTCAAAAAGCGGTTCCACGCCACTGATTCCCATAGAAACAAGTTTGTCTATGCTGTAAATTTGTCTTTGAGTAGAGATCACACCTATTAACGTTTAAAAGTGAGTATGTAGACGTTTTTTTAAAAACAAGGAAAAGGATTTTTTTTTTCGCAATATTTCAACACCCTGTTCTCAAAAACTATTCCCTTTTGAACTTTTTGAATTATTTTATTATCAATAAACTTCTAGTTTCTCCATTAGTGTGGTTCATGAGAGTAGATTATTGCTGAAGCTGTGGGACCTTGTTCGGTCATATTCAATCGGCAAAGATTATTATTATAAACTCCCGAACATCAATTGATTTGAACAATTTAAGAACACCTGGGCAAATTTAAATTCAAAGACTAAATTTTATTTCCTGGAAATGAAGTGAGTCACCAAATATGCGATATTTACCTGAATAAGTACTCCTGGCTGATTATCCGAGTATGTGGTAAAGGTCTGGGTTTGCTTGGTGGGAATGGTGGTGTTTCGTTTGATCAAGGCAGTCATCACGCCTCCTGCCGTTTCGATACCCAACGACAGCGGAGTAACGTCCAGCAACAGCAAATCCTGGACTTCTTCGGACTTGTCTCCGTGTAAAATGGCGGCCTGTACTGCAGCTCCGTAGGCCACGGCTTCGTCGGGGTTGATGGACTTGTTCAATTCTTTTCCGTTGAAGAAATCTTGGAGGAGCTTCTGTACTTTGGGGATACGGGTGGAGCCCCCGACGAGGACGATGTCGTGGACTTGGGCTTTGTCCATTTTGGCGTCGCGTATGGCCTTCTCGACCGGTTCCATGGTGGAACGGAACAAATCGGCGTTCAATTCCTCAAAACGGGCACGGGTGATCGAGGTGTAAAAATCGATGCCCTCAAACAGGGAATCAATTTCTATGCTGGCTTGGGTGGATGATGAAAGGGTACGTTTCGCCCTTTCACACGCCGTCCTCAATCTTCTTAAGGCACGTTTGTTGCTGGTCAGGTCTTTTTTGTACTTGCGTTTGAACTCTTGTACAAAGTGGTTGACCATTCTGTTGTCGAAATCTTCACCACCCAAGTGAGTGTCTCCGGCAGTAGATTTCACTTCAAAAATACCATCTTCGATTGTCAAAATTGACACATCGAAAGTACCACCGCCCAAATCGAAAATGAGGACGTTGCGTTCCCCGTGCCCTTTTTTATCGAGACCATACGCGATGGCAGCTGCAGTAGGTTCATTAATAATACGTAGAACTTGCAGACCTGAGATGGTTCCCGCATCTTTTGTGGCTTGACGCTGTGAATCGTTAAAGTAGGCAGGCACTGTGATGACAGCGTTGGTAACATTTTTGCCCAAGTATGCTTCTGCAGTTTCCTTCATCTTAGTGAGGACCATGGAGCTGATTTCTTCTGGGAAGAATGTTTTCGATTCTCCCTTGTAGTCTACTTTAATTTTGGGTTTCCCATTATCATTCACCACGTCGAAAGGCCAGTGTTTCATATCCGCTTGTATTGCGGGATCGTCGAACCTACGTCCAATTAACCGCTTCGCATCTGAAATATGAGCGTACAGTCAGCAATTTTACTTTCTTGACAAGTTGTATGCGCAAACTAACCAAAAACTGTGTTGTTGGGGTTCATGGCAACCTGGTTCTTAGCGGCATCTCCGATGAGACGCTCGGTATCTGTGAAGGCGACATATGAAGGTGTCGTCCTGTTACCTTGGTCATTTGCAATAATTTCGACCTTCCCGTGCTGGAACACCCCGACACAGGAATAAGTTGTTCCCAAATCAATACCAACTGCTGGTGCTTTTGCCATTTTTCTGTAACAAATTTAATATTTAATTTGTAAAAAATATTTTATCGCCATTGGCAAGCGTACAAAAATGGCGCCAAAGTTATACTTTCCAAGAACAAATATATGAATAATAAGACTTTTATTCCGATTAGATAGGGAGTCGATTTATTTTAATTCATCCGTGGCTGACGCATCGATGGGAATTTTATGGCAACCAAGGTTCACCGATTTCCGTCAGCAACAACCTTGAACCACCAGAACTAACGCCCAACCGTTAATTTTTAATTACCCAAACTGGCAGATAATGAAACATATATCATGAACAAAGAATACTCATAAAGCAAATTATTGCAGCGAAAGACACAAGCACGTGTCTTAAAAGGGCATTACGTCTTTTTTTCAGTCAGCAACGTCAAAAATAATCGTATCAATAACAAAAACGATAAATATCAATTTCGGCTCACCTTATTTTATTACTTTTTCGATTGAACACACAACTTTAAATACGAACTTAAAAATTAGTTGTAACCTACAACAACTGCAATGAACAAATCGTGAAAAATTTCGGAAATGGCCGATTTTATACGGAGGTCAAACCAAGCTTCCAGAAACTTCTAAACGTCAACCAATAACGCACGTCATAAAATCAAATTCATGCCTCTTCTTATTCGCTCCGTAAAAGAAATATTTCATTCATTTTTTTTTCTAAATGTGTGCTGCTGAAAATTAATAATTTTTGCTATTGATTTGCTAAAGAGTGAATAAAATATCAATATTTCGTCTAAAATCGTTTGAAAATTCTCATGAAAGCAGTTTTGGCGGCAACTTTTAAATTTAGACGTGCTTTCCTGGATATTCTGGTTGGTTAATTGTCTCGTAGATCGTAGATGTTTCCATAATCTTCTATAAAAATGGAGAATTTTTAAGAATCCGAACTAAACTATCCAATATTGTATTTAAAAAATAAAAAGGATAAATGTTTCATGTCGTTGTCCTACAATAGGTATAAAATATTTCCTGCCCGTTCAAATTTTTCTGAAGTATTCCCTACTAATTATAACCGAATTTAGAAAAACAAAAGAACATGGCACGTTTTTTGTTGCGTGAAACAGGATGTTACGTAGACTGTAATAATAATGAAGGGAAACCGTTTCTTTGAATGTATATTTTTAACTTCCAGAAAGAATTGCGGAAAAAAATGATAGCATAGCCGTACTTTTTTTGTACTAAAAATAACATTTCAAATTTTAATTCAAATCAACCGCAACATATTTGGATACTATAACTTGATGTCTGTGAGGTATTCTGATTTTAAATCAATTTAAGTTTTTGTATTTTTTTCCACTCCTAAAATAGGCTTTCCTTAACCATAACTATTAACATCACACACCTAACGCAAAGTAATAAATGGCATGAATAGAAGCATGATTGAAGTTTTCCACTATGCGCAAATGTCTGTATTGTACTGTGTTGTTTTGGGCAGGTTGAGGTAGATAAGTTAATAAATATAATTACATACTGCGCAACCTGCAAATATATTATATTTTGTAAGCACAATATGTGGTTAACTACATGCCTAATCAAAAAATCAAAGAAAGTTTCAAACAAACTTTAATATTAAACAATAGAAAAATAAGATTGGTAAATCAGTCCTACAGAAGTTGTTGCAAAATACAAAAAACAACACCACCAAGTTGCAAATCCCAAAAGACCTTTGAAAATGCTTGCTGTAAATATCTGAAAAATAAATATGCATACCACCACAGAAAACTTAAGTTATTTGATCTTACTGCTTTTAAACTTTCTAATTTGAGATGGAAGACCTCAACGGATTCTGAGATTGTGCCGCTGTTATCCGCCAAATGGAAAGGATCTATATTCAACTTAGAAGAAGCTGAATTATTTTGGTCCAATATCTCAAGACCAGAAACACCACTGTATAACCAGTTCCACTGGTATTCACTGAGTGTTTTGTACATAAGTGTCAAGAACAAGCATATAATAATAGGCGCGATGTATTGTAAAGTCACCACGCATAAGTAGTAAAATACAGCTGCAATCTGAAACAACAAACAAAATAAAGACAAGGCATGAATAAAAGTAATTGTAATATTCACTTTTTTTTGAAATTCTATGTTAGTAATCCTTCCAGCCTCTTTCTTCTGCTCCTCAGTTCTGCGATAAGCCATATCTAAATATGCTTGAAGATACCAAGGCATCAGAGCGATTTTCAAACACATAGTAAATACTATGGCTACCAATCTGGCTACCTCAAAACTTTGTTCAGTCATTCTGCAAGTTTATGGTCTTCGTTTAAAACAACTTCACAGTGTCATGTGATTGATGAGATCAATGGCGACAATATTTATGAACTTAGCCAAAACATAAAACAGGATGCCTCACATGAATCTATTGATTGTTGTCGAACACAATGGAATTAGAGGCACAGTGCTTAGGAGCTAACAGCATACAGTTATGACAAGCGAATTGGAAATTATACTTATGGGTCTACCGCAGGTCACAGTATTAGGACACTTTCTAATCTATCTGTTAAGGGACTGACATTATTCAATATAAATCAAAGGCTTATCTCATATGCAGGCGATACTGTTTTGCTGTTTAGTAAAGGAATGTTGAATGCTAATCAACTCCTGAAGTGAATTTTATAATTTTTTTTTTTTAATATTTGGGACCTACATTATATATGTTGCCTTTTAAAGACTGAGAAATAAAATAAGTCTATTTAAGAAGAAAACTCGTAAATTTATATTTGAAAATCAACATCTTACTGGAAATTGCTGTTAAACGAAGAGAAGAATTCAAAAAAAAAGAGTAATACTTACAAAGGAGCACCTCTCCCGGAAAATACTCTCACCGTCAAGTAATCCTTCGTAACAGGCTTAATCCAAAGGACAACCAGAAGAAACGGCAGTGCAAAGCTAACATTCAATAAAATTTGTTTTAATCGATTTTCTCTAAAATATCTGAACAGAACTACAGTTAAGTGAATAGTTTCGAATCCAGAAACTTGGAACATACTTTAGCAAGTCCCAATGCATCTTAGCTATCCTTAATCCTGGAAATGTGAATAGGGCTCCTAGCATTCCGCACCATAAGGCAAGACAAAATTTGATAAATATCTTTGAAGCAGGGCCACTACAATGAATCGACATAACTCTACCTGATATTAAAGTAAAGTAGATTATTAACCTACGAAGAACTCAAATCCTGTTTGTCTAAAAACAGAGAAGCCGTCCTGTTAAAAGAGGTATATGCTTCCTCTAAGCCAAATTCCAAAATATTTTCATCAATTATTAAGGTTATCATTGAGATGAGTAAATATATAAATCCCATCACAATACAAGTGGACCTTTCTCCCACAGATTCTTCACCTTTAAAGTACTGGATTGTAAGACCTGCTAACAATTTTCTAATAGTTTATTAAGGAGATAAAATGTTTAACAATTATAAGAACAAAACGATAAAAAAGGATACTTTGCAAAGAGAATTACTAACAAACACCATATCATACTTAAATTGATTTCATCCTTTATGGTAAGCCAAATCTGATATACCTGAAACTCAAGAACAATTATCAACACTTCTTTTACCATTTTAAATATTGCCTCGAACCTCAGTAATCAAATAAACCATGGCAGCATATAATGCAAAGTCGACCAACCATTGGTATTCACTGTAATAACGCAAATGAATAACATCTAGATGTGATACTTTCGCAGTTTCTAGCTGCACATTTATTGATCGATCAATATGAAAAGTTTCAGGAGCTTTTCCATTTTGGACAATTTTTCCCCCTTTTCTGTTTTTATTTTTTTCTTTAGGGATATTAGCCAATTGCCGCAACTCTGCATCGGTTGGATATAAGTAGCGGATCAAGCCTGTAGAACATAATAACCATCTTCCCAAAGAAAAGTGAGGCCCTATTTTTTGAATTATGCTTATTACCACAAGAGTAGTAACTAATTGGGCTCCCAAGAGTGCCTATAAAATAAAAAATATATTTTTTGAAGAAAATAAACTAATTACTAACCATTATTCCAGTCAAAAAACGTTATTTCCACATCCTTTCTTACTCTTCTATTTATAGTTAAGTCCCCTGTCTCATAATGACAACCAAAATTACTATTTTTAAAACGCAGTGGGGGCCAAATTTGATTGCTTCCAACTACTTAACCAAAACTAACCAAAACTATTTAAGTTTGGATGTGTAATTGGTGTGTCGCAATTTCATATAAATCAAAGTTCTTTATTCATTTTTCTTTTCAATTTCTTCCCTTGTTTTCTACAATTTTACCAAAAGAAATGTTCATAACTTAACCCTAGATAATGTTTTAGTGATTACTTCTCCTTCATTTTTTTATGCAATTATTGACGCATAGATTAGGATATACAACAATTTTTCCAATGTTGACGATTGTTTCGAAAATTCAAAGATTTAAATTTTTCTCATAAGCTTAATTATAGTAGCCAAAATAACGGAATCAAAAATCTAAATTACTAGCATAAACTTGATTCATGTGGGATAGGTGACCTCAGTGCACCAGTAAACTGTCGCTGTAAACTGGAGTAAATATATAACCGCTAATGCTTTTTGTTTTATTGCTGTTGTCTGAGATTTTACAGACAATTTTTTAATCCCAAAATATGTAATTCAATAGGCAAGACTGTAATAATATGTTTTGCTTGTTGTTGTTGGCGATTATAAGGCCACGTTCCGAAATCACTAACCGCTGAACCCAATCGTTAATGCGAGGACTGAATAGAATTAATAAATTACCCCTTTCCCACATAATTGCTATCAGTATTTATTCTGATCAATCTATTTAATTGTTCGCTATGCATTAAGTCAAGTTAGTAAATAATTCGTTAATTTGTTAAACAAAATCAAAAACATCAGAAAGAAAATAAGCAAGTAACAGGAGTGGAAACGAACAGAAAACCAAGGTAAGAATTTGAACCAAATTGGCATATGCGATTAATTGATACGGAACGCAGCTTATTGCTTCTTCCTCAGGGAAATACAAGTAAGTTTGTCAACGCTGCATATTGAATTTCCAATAAGAATTTGGCTTCGATTCGATTTAAATTGTAATTTATTTTCATTGCTTGTTCTGTGATTCGTGGGTGAAGGTAGCTGTTGGTTGTCCAAAGAAGATTCGTTAGACAATGCGTCGCGTGTTTACCTTTAGTGTGTCAAGTGAATAAATGATGATATTTTTCCATTAAATATTACAATTGTATAACCTTTTGGTTAAATTTATTCATACGAAATGGCGGTGCTACTTCCAGCCCTGGAACTTATTGGTTCCATCCTATTAACGCCGTTTTTGATGCTCTTACTTTCAATAATATTTCTGGCATCAATCGGAAAGTCTTTGGGAGTTCGAAGATTGTATGTCAATTTGCTGTTGATGATATTCGAGGTAAGTGTACATAATCGTTTCGTCATACTTTTGTTTAGCTTACACTAAGTGTAAATTACATTATTTATACCTTCAAATCTCAAAATACGGATTCTACAATAATCATTTTTATTTTTCTAACAATGATTGAGTTTTAAAATTACTTAAATGCGCTGTACTAAATGCTGTAATGTGGGTTGCACTCGTGCATGCAAACTCTGTAAATGCCTGATGAGAATGGACTTAAACAATGGTTTAGGCTCTTGACTAAAGGTCATCCTCATTTTTTTAGATAATTTCATAAGTATTGTGCATTTGAAAACCATTTAGGATTAATAACGTTCATCAAATTCTTGAGGATAAGCAGTTGGCCAGCCCAGGTTAGGAAGTTTCATTAATGTTCTATTTGTCAATTTTTATTTGATATATGATCCGGGTATTCTTTGAATGCCAATTCTTTTATTGGCTAATAGATTTATGGCCGAATTTATGGTTGTTTAAATGGCCCAATAAAAATAACAACCCGCTATAATTATTATCGATAGATGCCATCTTTAGTAAAATGTTTGAAGTTTTGGATACAATATGTACATGCCTAAAGATTTTAAAACAATTCAAGGCCCATTCTTAACCAGGTAGTTTTTTTTAATTTTTGATGTCAAGGTTACCGCAGATACATTGTTGATTTATTTGGTTACATTTTTGTGACAATTTTAGTAATTTCGTAGATAATTATTCTTAAGACTATTGAGGGTGATTTTTGTATAAATTTGGCATTTGTCTGGGCTTTTTTGTACGGGTTGGCAACAATAACTCACCAGATGGAAGCATTGATTGATAAAACATACATGCCGAATTTTGTTCTATAAAGATAGGGGTACCGATGTGCCTACTTATCTACTACTACTATTTAGTATAAAAAAATCCTTTTTTTTTTCAAAAAACTAAGTCCAGTTATACCTGCAACTGGTTCTAAGAAACGTTTTTGATAAGAAAATATTTATATTTTGCGTAGCATCTATTACACTTAAACTTTATAAAATAACTATAGATAAACAGAAAACGGGTGAAACGATTTTTCACAGGTTACAAGTTGTAATTATTAATCGATTTTATTGGAGTGTCGTTCTACAGAACCAATTTGTAGTTTCTTGTGGAGGGTCAGGCTGTTTTATTTTATAATTACATACTGAATAAAACGCCGGTATTAAAAAGGCATTTTCAAAACTTAACTTAAACTTATGTATATTACTTCGAAGCTCCTTGTTTCACTACCAGAGGGCGCAAAATTCTCAATATAACTTAGCTTGTCATTTTCTAGTGACTTTTTCCACTCAAGTTAGGTTAGTTTTGTTTAGTGAGGTTAGGTTAGTTAGACTATTGGTTAAATTGGTAGGTTTGATTAGGATTAGGTTGTTTGAGATATGACAGAATCTCATAGACACATAATAATAAGAAAACAGTTGGTCGCGGAAGTATCCTAAAACTTAAAATTTATTGTCTGTGAGGCATAATATAAGAAAGTAGCGCATGTTTGATGAATGATACGAGCCGGTAGAGGCAAGAAAATCTTAGTTTGGTGCCATAAGCCACCTTTTAGTTTGCATAGTGGCTTCAAAATATTTAAATTTAACTGAAGAAACCATTACAAGTTTAGAAGTATTCTGGTATATTCCAAAAGCCTTTATTTTTTTATGCAAGCTATAAATGCGAGATAAAATTTTACATTGTATGCCCACTAGGTATATCTCGTTTTTTTTTAATTTCAAGTGCTTGATCTTCAAAAGATTGTGTAGGATATAGGATTCAACGGAATGTTACGAATTCAATAAGTAAAGGTATTTTTAAAAATTGTGGCCATAGGAGTCGGTAATCTACATCTATCTACTGGGACCATACATCAATTTTATTTTTAAGAATTAAAAACGAAGAATCTAATTTGAGTTATTGCAATTGTATACAAACTTAGCAGCTTTTGGAAAATATGTCACTAAATTAAGGCTTATTTTTAAGTGGAATTGTATTTGATTGGAACAAGAAAAAGATTAATTCTAGACTTAAAAGTAGTATTACTCTTTTGAATCGTATCGGAGTATTATGAAGGTTTGAATGTGTGTGAATTTTATTATTGTCAAGATGAAAACTACGGTGTACAGGTTAAGTAAACGATATTTATTGGTTTCGAAAGTTATTAGAAAATGGTTGTAAAGAAGTCGTAAAAATTGTTAGGATGCAGAATTGAAAATTATTTTAAAGTATACAGTGTAGCTCAAAAAGCGTGACGAATAAAACATACTTTTTTTTTTTAAAGAAAAGCCATATTTTTAAATTGTGTTTTGAATTCGTTGTGAAATTCTTCAACTTTTTTATTGATAATAATACATATCTAAACCTAATAGTTCCTCCAATATTTTAATTTTTCTACTAAATCCAATCAATATGTTCTGAAAATAATTTACAATATCTTCATTTTGAACAATGCAACAATACTTTTCGACCCTTTAATTGTATTATTTTGTCTCTAACAATCAGTTTGTTGTTATAACCGAACGAATTGTTCTTTGTTTAAAACGTATTCTAGTTTTTTGCTTCTATCTCCAAAACTGTCCAAAATCGGTACATCAGCAAATTTAATATGGTTATAATTGTTGAAAGCTATTTAAACTATTTTTAGAATTGTTGTGTTTTGCTAAATTTTTCAAAAATCTTCAAAACAGCTCAAGACAGCTGTAATCGATTAAAGAAACTATTGGCAACATGGACCCGAAACTTCATATTTTTAGGTGTAGATAAATTTTCATGACAGCTGTTTTTTGCTAAATTTTCCAAATAATAATTTTTATTAATAAACCAGAATCTAAAAATTTCATAATAATATTAATAATAATAATATAGTGCTTTGGATTTAAAAAATGAAGTTGGTTTGAGTAGACATGGCAACTCAGCAATATCCTAAATATTTGAAAAATAACTTCCTATGGCAGCAAACTATATGCTTCTATAACTAGTTTCTTATTGCTAAAGAATAATAAAATGTGAATTTTCAATGACAAGGATCATAAATTAAACGGTATTCCGTAAGGTTCAGACAAATTGCAATGATAGTTGCCGATAAATTTCAGACCTGTACAATATATATTATTTTTAAAAATCTATTAGTTACAATACAACTTCATTTGTAACCCAGTCCAGAGTCCACAGAAATCCAGTGCTTTCTAGCATGTTAACAGCTTCTCACATTCTTTCTTCTATTTGGCAGTCTTTTTATCCTTATTTATTGGAGTTTTTTTTTCTTTCTGTACTTTTTAAATTATGTGGAAAATATTTTTATTCCGTTGTAATTAAAAAACTGTTAAGTAAGAATAATATATAAAAAAAGTGGGAAATAGTATTGCCATTATAATTTCCATAAAATTTCAAAACATATTGAAATGTTTTTCAAAACTTTGTGTATTTTTTCTTCAATTTTTGATTATATATTTTTTTCCATGACAAGGGTTATGTTTAACACATAACCTTAAAAATGCCAAGTGAGTTTTGTGAATTCAACAAACGAAGGGAGGATCATACCCTGGAAAAATTTTCCATCCTTGAATCATTAGTTGAATAAATACTATAAAAAATTGAAATGAAATATATGAAATAGTCTTGCAAATAGTAATTTTATCACATATTGTTTTTTTAGATTAGTTTAATATTTAAAAATTACGGCAATTTTTAAAAATTCAAACGCCAATTGGGAAACCGCGTGCATAAAAAATAGTTCACATAATTTAAAAGGCACAAAATTTGCCATCAATAACTGGTACAGTATGTTCATAGATATAAGAAAGTGACTAACTGATACGAATTAAGGAAAGACCCGGCAAGCGGTAAGAATGAAATATGGCCGAACAGGTCCGTACTTTGCTTAGAATTTAATTATTTGGGGTTTTGTTAGGAAAGATACTAAACAATAGTTATTTATTTATGTATGTATTTATGTTTAAATCTAAAATAAAATTACAAATGATCTTTATTACCTACTTATTTGTTTTATATTATTTGCAATATGGATATGCGATTGTTCTGCTTTTTCTATATGTTTAACAGAATTTGCCCAATTTTTTGGAGAGATGTTAAAAACTTCGGTTTCTATAAGTTTGAGGACATTGGAGTTAACACTGGAAAAAAAACATTGTTACGACGAATGGCAGATTTCAGTTGGTACCAAACATGTTCAATGGGATTAAATATACAGTGGAAAGATTTTTTGCATAATTATCACAGACGTATTCATTTTATAAGTTAAAGCTTTGTATAACCTCAATTAATTGCTTTTTGGTATAATCTTCGTGAAAATAAATGTCGTTATTATACATGTAGTTTTGGATTATTGCTTTTGTGTCACATGAGGAAGGGGTTTTAGTCACCTGTCTACTGTCATAACTTGTATTGTCCATCACAATTACGCTATTAGGATGACTGTTTGGAACTAGTTTGTTTTTAAACCAACTTTTAAATAAATCAACGGTGGTGTCTTCATGGTAATTCAGATAAGAATCTTTAATACTTTTCGCAGACAGAGAAAGTCCATTTGGAATCCAACCATATTTAGAGCCAGCATGCAAAATAGTTATTCTTTTACCTCTTTTTGATGGCGCGTTTGTTTTACACTTATCAGTTGAGTCAACCCAACCCTTTTCTGGGGTATCAAAAGTGTCGAACCAGGTTTCATCCAAGTAAATAATTGGCGTTTGTTGTTCTCTGTAAATCCTATTTTTTTCTAGATATTCCAGTCGCCATTTCCGAATTCTAAAATATTCCATTAAAACTTGCCTTTTGTCAATTTTTTTAAATCTGAAACCCATGTGTTGAATACATTTCCATAAGGTAGTTCTGCCACATTTAACACCGGTTTCGTCTTTTTCAAGCCTCCTAATTAAGATATCTAATGTAGGCACGCTTTGTTCTTCGTATAACTGGTAAATTTTACGCCGTATTATATCTTGATCACTTTCATCCACATTCGAGAAAATGTC